GAGGCCATAAGGAGACCAGCCAGGCAGAGACTAGGAAAATCAAAGGAAGACGTTTCTAGCTGTGCCTGGATAAAGTGAATGTGGAAGGGTGGGAGCTGGACTTGGGCAGGCATGTGGTTGCAAAGGTAGAGGATGAGGGAAGGAGGTGGCTCGTAAGAGGAGCTGGGAGAGGTGGTGTTGCTGGGGAGGTGACAAACTGGTACAGGGGTCAGAGCAAGAGTGACAGAGCTGACAAGGAGTCACCTTATGACAGCTGAAAGCAGCTGTGCAAGAAGACAGAAGAAAAAGCACGTGAAAGCAGGTGGGGTTCAGACTGTCAGGCTTCTCATGGTAACTCAGCTCCTTCTGGCGCTGAAACTTGGGCATACACCAGCCACCCTCTGCCCTGTTTCTCGAGAAAGGAATCCTGGGCCCACAGACTGGCTGGGAGCTGTGCTGCTGCCCTGCAAGCACGCATACAAGCTACGCTGCAGGGGACCTTAGGGCATGACCCAATGCAGTCCAGCCGTTGCACGAACACTTGGGGGTGAGGTGTCTGGGCAGGACCTAGGCATGACCGTGGGACAGAACAGACTGTGGGGCAGAAAGACTTAAACTTCAGGGGAACCAGGAGAAAGTAAAGATGCCATCTCTCACTTGCAGGGGACTTGAGATTCCCAAATCTCAGCATTGTGAATAAACCCTACGTGACAGCTTATCCCTTCTCTGAGGCAAAGGCCTTGTGATGGGTAAAGAGGTTCAAAGCATGGGATTTTGGGCAGTCAGACAGCACAATTTCTACTTTTTATCTCTGCACCATCTCACTCATCACACAGGGTGAGCCAGCTCTTGGGAGGACTCAGAGGTGTGTAGAAAAGACTGCTTCATGTATTATTTAAGTTAATGGAAACGCCCAGTTGTGGAGAGGTGGGCTTAACTGTTCAACTAGTCAAGCAGCGTTCCAGGGAAAGGGCTTCTCTGCTGCCGTGAAATTCCTGGGTGACGGTAGGCAAGTTAGAAGAACGAGCATTTCCAGGCATGACCACCCTTCCCGAGTGCCGAACTTGATGCTTACGGTTCTTCTTCCAGGATCACTGAAAATGTTTGCAGTTATGCTCCAGATGCACGTAAACAAATGGTGAAATACAAAATAAGCAAGTGCAGGACTTAAATTGTGGACCCAAATGTATGGCTGCTTCACAGTGCTGCCTCTCCACCCTTCAGGTCCCCAGAGGTGCAGACTGATTAACACCTTCCTACAGGCCTGCAACATTGCGAAAATCAGTGATCATTTGTTTCACATAGGGGGCATTAAAATGAGAACGAGAGGCAAATGAGGACATTCATCCCTCACCAGGATGGGCTTTGGACTTACAGCAAATATGTAAACACTGTGAACACATAGAAAATGTCATAAAGAATAAAATAATTAATAGCCACTCAGTGGGGGTTGCAGTGAAAAACACGTGATCATGTAATTAAAGCAGCCTTAATTGAGGCATTTCCTCATTTCAGGGTACTTAACTATGCCTCTTCAGTATTCCTTTCATACAGTGTTTTGTTGTACACATAACACAGCAAGTTACACCTCCAGTGTCTCACATCCATTTCTCAATATTTGGCAGAGACAAAGATTGATGTGAATTGATACAGATTTCCAGAGAAGAAAGAACTGGTACGTCACACTCTGTTTGTATCCAGTTGCTAAAATATAAGTGAAAGAGATGTATCAGATTTGAAAATTTTTACAGAAGCAGTTATTCTTCTGGAGATTCAGTTGCAGTAAAACACCATCCGATTTTGGCAAGACTCACTCATTTACTACACTTATACAAGATCTAACACACTAAGTCTTGTCTCCCACTATGTGTACACTGCAAAAAAATGACATAATACAGGTTCCTTGCAGAATTTAATCTCTCATTTTCTTTAATGCTCAGACTCATTCTGTTTACTCATGTAGGGTTACAAATTGTGGACTCAGTAAGCCATTTTTTTTCCTCCCTGACCCCCACCCCCCCCTTTCCTGGAAAGTGCTCATAAATAAGTTACATGTTCACGAATTTAAAGATAACTTTTAATACTGTCTTTAAAGCAAATCCTTCAAATGCCTCCCCCTCAAAAAACCACCACACCTTTGCTCAGGATTACCTATTTATTTATTTTGGGTAAAACAAACATACAATGTTTCATTGAAACTGTGTTGCACTCCCTGCCAACACCTGTAGCCAGACTGTTGGTCTCTAACCATACACTGGGTATTTACATATGTACACGGCTGTACCGTCGGATGCCTGAATTGGGTGGCCTAACAACACATTAGGTCGCGAAGGCTGCTCAGCTGCCGCATTCAGGAGATTTAACATCCATGGTAAATTTTAGAGGGAAAGTATACACGAACCTGAACAATGCGTTTTATGGACCCAAGTGACTCCTGTGTTTATTGCAACATATACATTTGTAATAAATACAATCTCAGTGTTTTCTTACACATTTCTTCCATTTTTGTAAGCCTTACATTTTGTTGTAAAAGAATCTTTCCTTTGAGAATCGTTATACAGCTGTACAACGTTAACTCCTTGAAATGATGTAACATCAGTAATGAGAGAGGACTATATACATAAATCATGAATTCCAAACCTACATTATATACATTGTACTTACAGTATATACAGACATACAATCTATGTACATAGACTATCATAAATATTGAAAAATAGGTTTAGTTTTAATGGATTAATGTTTTATAAATAACATGTTACATTTATGACTGAAATATCATGGAAGACAGTAATGTCTAACTGAGGTGACAAAACAGTGGTTTAATACTGAAGCTGCTCTTTTAGGTGGTTTGTAATGTAGGCAACTCTTAAGCAGACAGGTTTGGAAAAAAAAATAAATTAAATAAATCATATGTTGGAAATCAACCCAGCCAAGTGGAACTCAACTGTTGCAGGTGGAGAGCCAGTCATCAAATCATAGAACACACAATGCAAAATCTGAAAATTGCTACATTCAGAGAGTTAAGTGACATGTATGATACATTATGAGGTGTCATCACAAGTGTCGTCCTCCTCTCTGGCTGCTGAGAAGGACTGTGTAGTAACTTCTCATTTACACCTTCTTCCTCTTCTATGGTTACTGAGAGAAAGGAGGCCATTTCTCCCTTCCTTCCTTTCTAAATGCTGGCAAGGGAAGTGCTTCATCCCTTGTGTGCTACAAATTGCTCAAAGGTAGAGAACATTTTAATCCTCTTCCACCTTCCTACATTTGCAGAGAGGAAGAAGAAAAGCTGCCGAAGTACTGAGGAGGCACGCGCCCGGCACGTCTGTGGAGATCGGGTAGCACGGGACAGTTCGCCACGGCTGCGGCAGAGAAGTGCCTACGGAGCGCTCGTCAGTGCCGACTCCAGGATTGTTAACTGCCAGTTGAGTACCACCGAACTAACGATACAAACAACACCAGGGGAATCCAGCTTCTCGGTACAGTTTTACACTAGACCTAGTGACCAGTACTTACAGTCATGCAGAAGTATCGACACAAAATACCTGCAAGGTTTTTTCACAGATTTTAAATGGCTGGGCAGAGATTGACATTATCTGTCAAGCAGTGACTGTCATTTAGATTTGTTCCCGATTGATTCTACAAGAGCAAAAAACAGTCTTGGGCGCTGTTTATACTTGTTCCCTCTGACACAACGACTGAGTGGAACTTTGTAAATCAGATTTTTAAAGCATCATGTCAGATGAAGACAGTTGACCGCGTTGCCATGATTATTTCATTAACAATCTCTATCTAGGCTTTTGTACCCAATATTGTTGCGTTTGAGAACCTCCTATAAGCCAAGTACGCTGTTATACAAGTGTTATTTCTCTTCAACCTGGGATAAGAATGAAAGAGTAAACATGCACTAGAAACAAAACAGCTAATCACAACCATACAGCACCTGTTTCATCAGCTAGCGAGCTAGGGCTTGTAAGAAGCTTACCTATTTCTGAAGCAAACAAGTATGAGATGACTATCCAGCCTACGAGGTTATCTTTAGTACTACTATACAGTATAAATTGGAAGAGGAATCCCAGTTGTGTATGCGAAGAGAGTTTGTACCAAGCATGAAATACTGGTGCAGTTATTTTGTGGATTTGACTCAGAAACAGAATAGTCAAGTAATTCAAAATCCAATAACGGATGAGTAATTTGAGAAATACTGTACAGTTTTTGAATATTATACAACTAGTAAACTACATTAGGACCTTTCTGTTTTCCTAGAGTGTTTCAAGATAGATTGGACAAAAAAAAAAAACCAATAAACATTGCTACAAGTGACAATGGACCTTATTAATAAAGAGAACTCCAGGAGGAAGTTTTATATTAATGGCATCATATGCTCCAGTGCCATTCAGTTTATATGTACAACAGGAAAAAAACAAAAACGCAAAAACCCCTAAACCCTGTTTTACTCAATTGCACTATTGAGTACCTCAAGAAGGGAAATGCCAATGCCAGCTTTACATTTTCTAGATCACTCATGTTTTCTCAAACATACCCATTCTAAAGGGTAGGGGTTTTTTTAAAGCTTGAAAATCTGGGTTTCCACATCATTTTTGGGAACTAAAGTAACTGTAGTTACTTAAAAGTAATCTGACAAATGACTTTCAGGATTATTTTCACTCCACTCCGAACTAACGGAATTTCATGGGAAGCATTTACAATTGAAGGATTTTGACTTGAATTGGTTCATCCTCTGTTTTGGTCATTAGAAGTATTTTTTAAAATAAAATTTCTTCTAATCATGCCTCTGCAGAAAGGCAAGCTAGATTTAATTTAGGACACTGATTAAATATTTTTATGAGCTCTTCTATGTTATTCTTTCATCCTTTTTAGAAAAAATGTTTCTTAAAGTCAAAATAGTGCTTTTGAGGTCCATAAGAATTTTTGGTACAAAAAATAATAGTGTTTCTCTCTCTCATTGGTTATTTCAACATTTTACTGTAAATTAAAGAGTTATTTCTCACATCAAATGGTTCCATTAGGCACATTCAAGTAAAATAACAAAATACCCAAGTAACAATGACGAAAGCCAAACATGGCTTGATAAAAGTCTACAGAGAGTTCTGTCCATTCTCTGGAATGGAATAAAGTTGTCACTTCCTTCAGCCAGACACTCACGTGGTTTGACGTTAATATCCACTTCCATCATGCAGAATAGTTTCTTAAAGAGAGTTCAATATTCTACAATCAGAAGAACCATCAACAAAAGAATCTGCATTTTAAAGGAAGGCGAATAGCTCATTTTCACTCCCGGTAGGTCTCTGAGTGAACACTGGCATTTGAAGTGGAGTATTAGAGATTAAACCAGGACAGTTAATGGCCATCAGACGTGACATTCTGGGTCCAGTCTACAATAATCAGTGTCATACACCCAGTCATCACAAGTATACCACTAAGAAGGAAGAACACAGCCTGAAAAAAAAGAAAACATAGAAGTATTTCAGATTCTGCTACTACTCCCACAAAGTCGTGGCCATTTATGGCACAAGTGCCGTTGCTCATGGAGGACAACGCAAAAGAGACAAGAGATCACAGTAAAGAATAAGGAGCTAGGTATCTTTCTCATGCTTGGGGTCCTTTCTCAAATAAAAAAGTACATGTATTTTACAGCAGGCCTCACCCTCAACTGAAGGAAGTTAATGTAGCTGCTGATACCAGTCAGGCTGTGCCACTGCACTGACTTGATTCTGACTCAGCATGTCTAAGATTTGATTCTGAGTCAGTATGTCTAAGATCAGTCGGAGCACCCAGATCAGTCAGGCTGACCCAAACAATCGGTGGAGGCCAGCTTTTACGGGGTAAGTTACTTAAGTCAGTCTTGAAAGAAAATTTAAAGGAGAACCACACAACTTTTTTAGTCTAGCTCTTAAGGGTAATCTGTTGAAATCTGGTTCTTATCAGCAACAGAATGACCCAACTACTGTTGAGATTGGGGGCTGGGGGGTTAGAGACATCACTGAGGTGAACTGAGCCTTGTGATGGCTGTCTCCTCAGTTTTGAGCACCTATTCAGCTACCCGGTGCTAACTAAGACAGCATTCAACGCCAATTCACTGACTATTGTGAAGAAGGAAGGTAAAGTTCTTGCTCTGAATTAGTAAGCCAGTGTAACTATTACATATTTGTCTATACATACCCCAATCTTTTGCACTGACTTCATTGGTTCCTTCTTCACTAACTTGATATAGAAGGCAGAAGGAAGTATAAAGATCAGCATGGCAGCTGCAGATGCACCTGTATTGAAAAAGCATAGAAAAAAATACTCTTAAATAGGTAAATATAATTTAATTTGATCCAAACGGCATTTTCAGAGATGTGAAAGACTACTCAAACTGATGTGAAAATGCTTACCAATGAATCCAAAGATGTCTCGAATAGTAGGGACAAAGATAACAAGAATGTTGGTGAACACCAGAAGAGCAACTGTAATGGAACAGTGACGCCACCATCTAAACTCCTTCCCTGCCCACAACAGCTGGGTAATGGAACTGCGGATCTTTTGAAGAGAAAGGTGGGAGTGGAATAAAAAAAAAAGGGGACAGTTTAGTCTTCATTGTGGAAGTCAGTGATTGTCACCTGAATTGGACCTTCCTTCTGAAAGTATTTCAATATAATTGTCCTGAACACTTCACATTTGAATACAAGTTGAAAGACAAGAATTTTTTTTTTTTTTTAATATTTACTTCCTGCACTTCAGAGGCAGCTCTGTGTTTCTGGTCTGTTTCTCTTTACAGAGATTTAGATTTTTCAAAGCACAGTCACTAATGGAGAAAAACCAAGGAAAAACATCTGCCTTGAACAAAAATAAATCCCAGGGATTTTTGTAACATCTAAGGATGCTGCTCAACAACATACACCGAAATGGCCAGAATTCAAGTTCACAATGTACATACAAAAACATACCGACTTTCGTAAGCTGATAATATAATAGTGCAAATACTTTTGTAAAGAGACAATCTGTTCCACCTCCCCAATTAAACCATACCAGGAAAACAATGTAACTGAACATATTTGTATCTACTGCTTTGTAAATGTTGCCTACTTATTTATTTGAATTAACAGTAGAGAGATATTTTCTCAAGCTTATTAGAATAAATTTCCTTTTTCAGTTAAGAGAAAAATTCTGTAAGTTAATAAAAGAGAGTTGCCAAATCGGTAAATATCTGCAGCAGGACAAGTGATGAAAATAAATACATTACTTACTGGGAAAATAACTACAGGCACAGTAAGGGTTACAGCCATAAGTACAGCGAGACGCACAATAAGAAGAAGAACATCAGCACCCAGATAAGCAGAGTAGGTATGAAGCAGTTCTGGTTCGACTTTTCCTACAGAGAAAACAGTGTTTTAATGGGATGTGGTTGCCATATTTCTCAAACAACCGCTTCTGCTCTAAACCCTAGGCGAATTTTACCATTACAGCACTATGAATTGAGAGCCTCAACAGCTGCTGTGAGCGTGTCTCCATTTACACAGGGGTAACTCGGAGGCACTGTATCTGTTTTAAGCATATTTTAATTCTGTGCCTTGTGCATAATTCTACTACTGATCTCCTTTTGGGTATGCAGTTATAAAAGCATTACAAACACCCCCAATAAACAGTGAATATTTAGAATTGATAGTAAATGTTTGCTTGTTCTAACTTAAAAATAATACTGTGGGTTTGCAGAACATAATTCATTTAAAAGAAAGCAGTGAAGGCGATATTCACCATAAAATGTCAGGTATCCAAAGAGAGCAGCCAATAAATACATGAGGAACATGGCAAAAAAAGATACATAGGACACATTCATCATTCTTTTACGGCTTCGGCTGTAAGAAAGAGAAACATAAACATGGTTAGCAAGGAGAATGTGCTGGTTTACACTACTTTTATTTCTTTAGTGAAATCACAGACACGTATCTAACATTTACCTCTTCAGTTCTTCATAGATAGGAAGAATTGCAGGATGGCAGACGAAAGAAAATGTTAGGATTGGGACAGCATAGACAGTCTGAAAAACAAAAGTCTTTCTTAATAACTCAGACATTAGAAATTCAGTTTTAAAAAATTCAACAGCAGATTTTTCAGTTTTGACTTAGGCATCAACTTAGTTTTTGATAATGACTAGCTCTTTGTTACAACTGAAACTTTGGCAAAAATTAAAACAAGTTCGTATTTTCTTAAACCCAGACCCTGAGGTACTGAATACTCTCAGATCTCACTGAAGTCCATGCTGAGCTGAATGCATTTGCATTCAGAACCATGTTCTGCATCTCATAGGCTTAAGCCACTATAGCCTGATCTTGGTATTGGCTATTACACAAACTTCTTCCCCATGCGTGGGGATTCACCACTGCAACTGGGAGCATTCATGAAAATCGAGACTTTGTGACTGGGAACTTGAAAGTCTATTCCAAACCCTGGCATACATTTCCCATTCACATGCCTTTACTATTTACTTCATCCTCTTCTGCAATCTACTTTTTAAAATGCTTTACTAACTTACTTGAGAAACGCTGTGCTGAAGAATGAGGGGTGCGTTTACTGCCACTCATCTCAGGCAGGCACCTCAGGCTCCTCTAATTTCTGTCTATGTGGAATGTGGAAACACCCAGTCTACAGGAGGTAAACAGTGCCTAACTCTAGTGGAACTGAAAGTCTTAGCACATCTCAAGTTTACCACTGGGCAATTACTTGAAGGAAAAATTACCTAATTTATCTGTTATGTATTTACACTCAGTTATTTTCAATTGACAGTCTGATTTTTAGTCAGTTACCTGTGAATTGAAGATGAAATATTTTGGCTTGCACACATCATCAATTGTGATGTTTTCATCTACCAAAGGTGCCAGTGTCACATTTATTAATGTCATGTTCATAATGTCACTGTCCATAGGACAAGGAATCTGAAACATCTTCCAAATTACCTAGAAATAAAGACATGATTTTATTGTTACTTTGACCAATGCAATATGCAAAACTTCTCAGAAACTGTGTTTAATTTCACTTTGAAATGCATTTTTACAAGCACTGGAAATCTACAAGATTATACTTACAACAATCAGAAAGAAGACCATGCAAAGTAAGGAAAAGCCACTGGTATAGCCCAAATATCCTGTGTTCAAGAAAGATAAAAAAAATCTAAGGTACAATAAACAGAAAGTTTCAAGTCCTAACATTACGACAAAATATATTCTGTCAATGATCTCTTTAGATAAAAACCACACCAACAACTATGTGAACTGTTTATTAAATACCAAGAATGATTATAGGATTAATTCTAACAGAATGCACTATGACATAGCTTAGCCTTTTCCCTTCTGTTTTTATTGATTCACTTAATTTGTAGAAAGTAGTAACTTGAGAAAGCAATTCACATCAAGACTCTTAGTTAGTACAGTTCCACTACAGGATTCTCCGAACAAATAGCCCCTTAACTGAGTTATTCACATATATCGCTGAACTACAGCCATTTCAGAGAAATCATCTGGTATCAATATTCTGCTACTGCTTGGGATCTAAAATGATAAAGGTGACCTCTATTTACACTGCAAAGACAAATTTAGCTGTGCAGAGCTAGCATCCCTGATCTTTTGAGATTGTTCTAGGATAGCTAATAACAATATCCTACTATTTTGCTACTGAAATAGGTCAAACTTGGTGATAAGAACACAAACCGAAAGCTACTGCTGAGTCTTGTTCTAAAGCTGCCCTATCTATTGTCCTTTCATTTTCCACAAACACACCTGTAACTCAAGATACATGCCTTGATCTCCTTTTTAATTTTTATTTTTTTTAAAGTAGACTGACAGCAATTACCTGAACACTGATTAGTTCCAAGAGACAAGTTTGGAGACAGCTGTTAATTCACATTGTACTCCAAGACTCGAACATCATATCAACACATTTCCCCACAGTCTTTTCAATGCATTTTTTGCTTTGATTGTACTCTACCGCTTACCTAAATTTTTCAGTAAGGACAGCGGAAGAATGAGGATGACAGACACCATCAGCACTAAATAGTCACCGTTAAGATACCATTCTCTGTAGAAAAAAGGTAGTATTTGTAAGTAATCAAAGTATTTAAAAATTATGACATTTACAGTTTAGTCTTCACTATATCTTCTCCTACAACATATGGCTTCTTAAAAAAAAAAATAGTAGTACCTGATGTCACAGAGGATTAGCATTCAACTTACTATATGGACCTAAAGCCCTACAATACCTTCTTATCTCACCCCAAACCTGCATTGTGCCTTTCCTTTAGTGTCCTTTTCTAAAATGAATATGCATCTGGAAGTCAGAAGACAGGAAAGTAAATGACTGGGGTCAGAAAAAAGAGTCAACTGGGATCAGTCGCAGAAAAAAAATAGCCATTTGCTTAAATGTTGGTTCCCAACTCTCCAGATGTATTAGAACATTGCAGTGCCCCAGCAGGGTGGTGATGCACTTTTAATGGAAATAAAATTCTGTTGGGTGCCCTGCGGGAAAGAAAAAGAGGTGAGGGCTGGAGTTAAGGCAGTAGCTCAAGCCCACTGGCTGAGAAAACTCCAACAAGCACTGGGAGTCTCTTGGAGGCACGTTTAGTCCCTTTTAGTAGGGAAATTATCACAAGAACCTCAGAAGTTTTTTTGCTTCAGATAATTTTTGCCATTTATTCCATAAGAAGCAGCAGCTATTTTTTGACAAAAGATTTTGGAGTGTTAGAAGATTAACATCTTCCTTTGAAACACAGAAAACCAAAGTCAGATCTGTGTAAATATAATGTCATTTCATTGATCTAACAAAAACTGATCTTGAGTATTTAATCGTGGCAGAGTAACTGCTTTCTTCATCTGTCCTACAGAATCATCCTATACGCTTTAAGCAATTAAAGTAACACTAAGCATTTATTCCCAAATATTAACACTTTATATCCTGTTATGGTATCATCTAACAGTATTTACTTTAAAATGGACTGTATACTATTTAGGTAAACAAAGAAAAATTAACACCCTAATTGGAAATTTGTGCATTCAAACTCAATTGCTGAATTATGAGCCTATATATGGTAGTGGAAATACGGAATAACTTTAACAGACTTGCTCTGGATTTATGTAGTAAATACAAAAACCATTTGGTCATCTCTTTCCCCAGTTTCATCTGGGATAAATAAATGTAAAACATGTATTTTAGAAAGTTCTGATGTGTAGGACATTAACATCATGTACCTTTTGTTGTCTTTCTTTAAAAACGTAGTAATCATATGGTAAATTTAAAAGAAATCACAGCACAGAGATTGCTTGCATTTGATACAGTCACAAGAATGTGCACTGTTACTGTGCATGCCCCACGCGGAGGCCATCAGACCAACGATTTGAACAGTTCTTCTGTGCTGAAGAGTAAAGAATGGGACTGCGCAGCATTAAAACACAGCTGAGTATTTTAAAAATTGCAAAATTAATCTGAATAATGGAGCTAGCATTTGTAATATTGTCTCAGAATTCCAGGTATCTTCTACAGTAAGCATTATTTTGGGACATTTAAACAGGTAAGTGCTTACATTTTAGGCACCAGGCTGCCAGAGTGGAATCCATGCCAATGGTAGCCACCCAGACTCCCCTAAGCAACGCATGGAGAGAGTCAGTTAAATGAGGTCCACAGTTGCCAGAGCACTGAGAAAAGATTGACTTTATATCACAGTACAGCTACCTAGTACCAGCCAACAAGAAAACACTTAAGATACAAATCTCAATTTCTTAATTTTGTCTGCCAGATTTGCAGTGCAGCAGCTGTATCCAGTGAGATTCACAGCCTTTAGCTTTCTGTCTTGAACTGCAACCAATTTTTAATTATTTTCTGAAGATGGGACAGTTAAAAATACTTGCCTCCAAGCCCCCTTGTAAGTATTGGCTACTCCAGGGATGGTCTTAAGAAGTGGAAAACAGGGACTTCAGCCAAATTCAGCCAAAGGAGGGAAATGAACCTTCCCAGCAAAGAATTTGTAAACATTACACCACTAAGTAAATGGGGTGGGTGCGTTCTTTGAGTACATTCAAAAAAAAAAAAAAAAAAAAAAGATGACTAGCATTGTTGTCATGACAGTATCTATCAGCAAGCTGTATGAACACCACCACATGGCTTGAACCCCTCGGGGAACACAGGCAGAAAAATGCCTACCTTCTGAACTCAGGCTTAGGTGTAAGTTGGAGTCTTGAGCTGCTCAGCCCTCTCAAGACTGGGACACTTCAGGACAAGGCACAGAAGTACAACTCTGAAGAGTGAGATTTATAGCACTTAACTCTATCCATCTGAAGTCAGGCATCTTGTTTTAGTTAGCTGTTTTTACACACCCTCTCAATACAAACTGATATGATAAATTGCTCTTTGGAGATGCCCAAAACAGGCGTCTAACCAGGTGTATTGAACTGACCACTACAGAGGATCGCCTTTCTCCACACCAGAGTAAGGATGAGCTCAAAATCTAACTTTCAGACAGTATGGTTAGGTAAGATGAACCCTACCCAAGGCACCCACTTTTAAAGCCAAGCCACTATGGAGTCAAGGTGTCTCCAGGGCTAAACGGCAACGCGTCCACCATTTCAGTCTTAGGCATATAAACTCTATATATGTTTTAGTTCCATGTTTAGTCCCCATGTCCTTTTGAGAGCTGTTCCTCAAGACATTCATTACATAACTGCACCTTCATCTTACGTTTAATCACTTCCCACAATATTAACACTAAAAAACCAAAATAACCAGTCTAAACCAGTTAGAATGCAATATGAGAGAAAAAAAAAAACGAACAAACAAAAAACCAGCCATAACCACATTCACCTTTCCTCATCGGGAGTATGTACTGACTGGTACATACATTAACACTTACCTGATGTTCTTTAGAGAACAGCTTTCTGTAATATGATGCAATACCTGTATTTTTCTACCCTTTTCCCAGGACAGGCTGGATCTAAATGAAGTGGAGCACTCAGGGGAAGGGCAAACTTACTGTATCTCTGTCTGAGTAAGAAGCTACCCTACGGTGTACCGAACGTGGTCTTCATATAAAAATATATACAGTCTCCGTATTTGTTTCTCCTAAGAGTTTCTCTGATGAGGAGTTCTAACACCTACCCTGTGGTCTCTTCGATGTTCATAAATGTCTTGATGACCAATGGTAACTCATATTTCACTATGAAGAGGTAGCTTGACATAGCTGTAGGTGAATAACATCATAGATCATTACAAATATAGAATATGCCACAAGATGCAAGAATCACATAACATGTTTCATAACTTCACTTGAACACAAGCAGTTAATGAACACATGTTGTGTGAAGAAAAAAAAAAATCTCCAAGAATAAGTAGGGAACAATAACTACTGATGGTACAGGCATTTTAAGATCTTGTCCTCACCTCCAATGTTCTGCATTGTAATCGATCCAGAAGCAGCAAGTTTTCCAGCCATACCAAATGCCTTCATTCCCAACTGTTCATACAATAATGATCCTAAAAGAAAACAAAAGAATCCATTGGAAGGGTGCATTTCACAAAGATCCCATATGAAACAAATACCATATGTTTGTAAAATTGTAATTTGCCATACCTCCTTCATTGGCAGTCTTCAAAAGGAGATGCACCGAATACAAAGAAAATATTGACACAAACAGCAGGAGTATCCTGGGGGAGGAAAAACATGCAAATTTTTATTAGCCGTAAATGCCTTATTGTAACCTTATTAAATAAAGGCAGATCAAACATAAAAATTAATCATATTAAAATATTATCTGGGAAACATCTGTAGATTCTAAGGCCAGCTAAAAGCGTTCTGAAAACACAATTAATGTCTAGTTTAGAAAGGATTTGATACTAAAATGCATTTCTGAGGCATACAGAGAAATTCTAGTGTAGGCTGAAACAACACTATATATCCAGTGTAAAGTGGCATAAGCATCAAATGTCAGGCCATTATAGTTGGCTACATTTGACTTAAGTAACTTCATGAAGAACCAATGGGAATGGTTTTGTATCACTGTAAGAAACTGTATTTCTCCTGTCTTCCTATCCTTGTTCAGAGTGTCATGCATCTATTGAACACCCAGTTGTGACTAACTGTAGCTAAAGTGAAGATCATCTCTTGGTCTTAAACAAATCGGCTTTTCAGCTTAAACCTGTGTTATGTCTTTTTTTAACGTAAAGATGAAACTGCAAAAGCCTTAAAGAACTGACTGAAAATTCAGACGTATTGAGAGTTGTGTCTTTAAATGGAAATATATATTTATTGTCATTAAAAAAAAAGAATGCTTTATTTGCTCAAAAGTTACTCTTCGTATGTGCTTACATGGGAATTGCTAGCAGCTTGTTTATCTTCCCCACAGCTTTTACAGGCAATGTATATTATTTCCAGAAGCACACTGGCAACATCTAAAATTCGGATGTCTCAACAACATATCTCTCCCACAACAAATGCAATTCCTCGAGTGGCACACTAGGGGGGACTTCTCAACTGCTGAGGAACACAGTGGAAAATTACAACACATTCAAAAAAACCCTGACCTTTCTTATACCAATACAAGCATTTTGCTTTATAGGAAACCTAAGAATCAGCACATCTGCTCAAAAACGGCAAGCTCCATTTAGAGTTCCCAGACTACTCTTTACATTTCCTTTCACGTCATTTTTAATGTTGGCGAAATTAGTAAACACAGCACAAAGAACTGGAAACAAGAAGATCCGAAAAAAGCTTTGCAAATCTGTACAAGGAATCCAGGAAACTCGTGTTACTGTGCCAATTCAACACCAACACACGTGCACAAATAAACCTGTATTTCTGACAGGTAGAGATTAACCAGGATTTAATTCAGCCATCAACTAGAAACAGCACAGCAAGATGTGCAAGGGTTACATTTAATTAAAACAGCACAGATCATGGACCCCTCAGTCCTAACCTCGAACGGTCACCTACAGCGTTGACAAGATCAGTCTGCAAACTCATCTTGAAGATCACTCGGTTTCTGGCCTCCAGACTGTATCATTCATTTATTTAGTGCTGACACAAGTGACAAGTCACAGCACTGACACAAGCGACTCCACACAGTCTTTGAAGAATTTACTGCCTTAATCAACTGCATCTGGATCTGAATCTGTAACCAAGTTATTAAAGGATGCCTGCAATGCCCTCGGTGTCATCACAAATCCTCAGTATCATCAGCGACCGACTGCTTTCCTGCCTTGGAACTCTACAAACTACACTGAGTTTTGAAAGGTAACAAGCTAGTTTATCTTTGAATCACTACTAATGTAAATAGATCTGAATGCAGTATCTGGAAATGAAAGCTTTCTAAACAACCTCAGCATCCAATTGTTAAATTGACAGTTTTGAACGTTTTTTTTTTTCTTCAGAAAAAAGGACCCCTATTATATGCAAATTGTACAAATATCTAATCTTAAATTCTTTTTTTCCCCTCTCCTCAGAGACGTTCTAACGTGCATTATGCTGATTATATGTGCTGCAGAACATATTTAGAGCATGAAACTGACGTGCAGAGAGATGAAGTATCCACCTCTTCTGAATTCATGTTGCTGAGTTCTTCATTCAGTTTAGCATCATGTAAGTAAGTGAAAGCCTTAGCTCACCCTATATTTAAAATATAAATCTCTATAGATCAAAACTACACATTGGTAGTTTCCTCAGGAGACTTGAACATCACCCTCACATACTGTGAAATGTCTGGAAGTAAATGTGACCTACAACTTTCTGGAAATCTGGCAACAGAGTAAGGCAAATTTTGAACTCAACGTTAGTCTTCACTTCTTCTTGAACATTCAGCACATTTATCTATTTCAAGGAGAAAAATACAAAGTTCCTTTAAACATATCCATGGATTCCCATTCACACTCAGTCACTAATATTACATGTTGTGTGAGCTGAACTGCCTCCAACATATGAAAAATGTATGTTCCCAAGACATTCAGAAACACTGTGCATAACTGTGTCCTCATGTCACTTCTACATTACTACAGTCTTGTCTTCTACCTGAAAGCTCTTCCCAATACAGACCTACCAATAAAGATATGCTGGTTACTTCACATCCCTCCCTTGCAGGGAGACAGAAATTTTTGTAGGTGTAGCTTAAACCAGTTCCCTGAATTGAGTAAAAGCATAGCAATAAAAAGGATTTCTTTATTGGTGCAAGTACATTGTACCTCTACAGGCACAACTATGCCAGCTGAGGAAATGGAGACCACGTCTCTGATTGGGGGGACACAGAAATTTTTAGCAGTAGACACGGAGAGGCTTGCAAGATGCAAATAAAATAATCCTCTTCTGCCTACATTCTTCTTCTAACTCTCTACAGCCTGATCCCGTACTTTTTGTGCAATTGTGAATTCCACTAAGTGAAAAGTTTCTGTTGTCATTCATTTCAGTCAGTGAACTCTGAAGAAAAGAGCTAATATGGACTTCAGTCTGTTAAGTAGCACTTCCCTTTTCCACTTGGATGATGGAATTTTCCAGGGAAGCCTATCAGGTATGCATGGAGAAACTACAGCTAAGTAAAGGAAAATTCACTGTAAAATGTTTTGTGGACTGCACAACTGGCAATGAGTCTGTTTAGTTTTTGCAAGTCCTTCTGAAGGTACCACAAGCTCTCAATTTAGAACAAGCCATAAATCTTAAAATGCAATTCTGCACCTACGGCAATGACTGGGTGTTTTGTAAAGGTCATATTCTTACATCAGTATGTTTCCATTATTAATTACAGAGCAGCGAGATTTTTTTTTGATGAACCAAAAGATACTTACACAAAAAGAGCAATTCCAGTGTTAGCCATGGCATAAGAAAGACCAAGGATGCCACTACCCACAATAGCATTGCTCAGATTAAATACTGACATTCCAAAGGAAGTAGTACCCGGATGCTGAGAAAAGGGAGATAGGTCATAATTAATAGAAAGTTATTATTTATTTCAGCATTAAAACAAACATAAAGTTGGCAAGAAAGCTTCTAAAGATTGCTGTTATGTACTTACATACTGAGTTTCATATTTCTTCTTTCCAAGATTGGAGTCGAGCAAGAAATTCTGATTTTCTGGATCTATATCCGCATAGTGGCTGTAGAAAACATCGCAGCGTTAGTGACCATCGCGGGCGACCCGCACATCCACCTCCCGTTCAGCACTACCGGCCCTCTTCCCAGGCAAAGGGGAAAACCCA